TGGTTCCCCAACCCTTTTTTTAATTGTTCTCCTTCTCTACAAAATTCCTTGGTGATTTATCTCTTCAGAGAGTTTGGGGTACTACCAGTGTTTGGTAATTACAACTCTAGCGCCAAATTAATATCTTTAAAATTATATTTCCTTCTTCTTCAGCTAACTCCTAACAACTTTTCCTATTGGGCTTGGCTATGAATATCTAATGGTGATATTGTATAGTTTTCAAATCAATTTCTGCTCTAATTTCCAAGCAAATCATTATTTCATCTTTTGTTGATCAGGGATTCTATTTTGAGAACTAAGATTCGTGGGTCAGGAATTATTCTTCGGGTCCAAGAATAATTCTTGGGCTATAAATAATCTCAGGATTTCACCAGAAAGTTTCATGTGGAAAGGAAAAATATATAAAATAAGTCACCAAATTTCACCGCTCATATTTTTAGTAATGCAGCTCTAATTTGAACTCTTCAAACAAACAGCATTATTTCCCTGAAAAGTATAGTATGTGATGTGTAGTTGGAATCTGTCACTTGTAATTCCTGCTGGAGAAATCCCCAAAGAGAAGTCATAGCCCACAGATGGGAAATAGAAACAAAAAAATTTAGATCAAGATGCAATTAGTTAATTTCTGTCTAACGTAGCAGCCTACATTAGAAACAATTTACTCTGAGTGGCTCATAGTATAACCACAGAAATTATACTCTGTGAAATAACTTCTATCTAGAGAAGTAAAAATGACACAATTATTCATTATCCCAGATTTAAGATGAAAGCCTTTGCAAACAATAAAGAATAATTTCATTGATCATTCGTCCAGTCTCTTAGGACTTGATTTGTGTCCTCCCCACTAATAAAAGATATATTGATGCCCTAACCCTCAATACCTCTGAATGTAACCTTATTTGGAAGTAAAGCCTTTGCAGATGCAATCAGTTAACATGAGGTCATACACACTGGAGCACCATAGGTCCTAAATCAATATGACTGATGTCCTTATAAGAAGATGGACATGTGAAGACAGAGTCACAGGGAGAATGCCATGTGATTACAAAGCCGGAGACTGGAGCTATTCAGCAGCCATCTCAGAAATACCAAAGACTAACAGCAACCACCAGAAGCTAGGAAGAGACAAGGAATGATTCCCCTACAGTTTCATAGGAAACATGGCTCTGCCAACACCTTGATTTTGGACTTGCAGCCTCCACAGCGAAGGGATCATAAATTTGTGTTGTTTTAAGTCAACCAGTGTGTGACACTTTGTCAGTGCAGCCCTGGGGAACTAATATATATCACTTTCTGTATTTTAAAGCAAACATTTATTTAGACTTTACTATACATCTACCATTGTACTAACTACAGATAATGCAAAGAGAGTGGTTGTTCAGGGCTAGAGAAGTGTGGGGGAGGATGAGGATTGATTGCTAATGGGTATAGAGTTTTTATATGGAGGATAAAATCTTCTAAAATTATATTGCATGGATTGCACAGGCAAGTGAATACACCAAATAATATTGAATTGAAGACTTTAAATGGGTGAATTGTATGATATGTGAATTATGCCTCAATAAATCTGTTAAAAAATAAAAGTCTCTTGTTTCAAACAAATCATGAGGTTGCGAAAAAGATAATTAACTATAGGAATCTGTGGTTAATTGAAGTAAGATGCAGACTGTGTTAGGGAATCACATTGGAGGGGCCCTCATCAAGATGGGGGTCAGGTGAGTGAGGAGTGGAAAGAATCATGAAGGGGTTCTCAAAGAAGGTGACAACAGGGCTAAGTCTCAGAAGGAAGGAGGACCAACCAAGACAGGAATTAGAGAACGGCATTCTAGCTGAGAGGACGTCCTAACACAGGCAGCTTCAGGTCCAAAGATCCCAAAGCAAGAAGAAACCTAATAAATATGCTGATTACTCAACATTGATTATTTACAAACTTTTTGGAATTAAGCAGAAAGCAAAACCTATAGCAATCAGAAATACATGTGGTCAAAATTGAGTTGGCATTTCAGTATATTTAATTTTATTTCAGAGCCTACAGGTGCCTCTTACTAATCACAAATTTTCATATATTCATGTCTCTGAGCAGTTAAGAAAGATAAACAATGAAAAAAATTATTCCTTTAAAAACATTAAATCTTTTATGTATCATATTTAGAGTCATATAAAATTCATCTGAATATACTACTTTTCTCAGGGCCCTTATAAAACATACAACAGGTAGTTCTTCAAAGACGTTCTCTAAGCATATTTTGAAAAGATGAGTTACTGCTGCTTGCTCCGTAGGCTTGAATTGAACTTGAAAATTATGCCACCTTAAGGCTAAATTTTTTGATTGTAAGAGCCAATGAGGTAACTCACCATATAAGAAAACACGCAGATTCTGATCAGTGCTGGAGTTTGAATACGAATATCACGCATCTACATATGCATGTGCAGTGCATAAGTGTGGTGCCTGTTTAAAATAGATTAAGGTTTTCAGCGAAAAAGTAAAATATTTTTAATAAGAAAATAGATATTAAAAAATTTTATAAATTTACGTTTATTTTAAAATATCTATGAGAGAGAGCATAGAGCAGAAATCAAAAATGTAAATTTTAGAGTCACACTAGGTGAATCTTCTCATAGATCCCAGCTAACAGAATGTACTCTCTTACTATGAGTCTCAAAGCAAGCTCTCCAGGTCTGCCCGAGCAGGGGAAGAGAGCATAAAGAATCACACGTCGGGTCTGAAAGTGACGTGTTCTCATATCACTCAATTATACTTAAGTTCAAAACGGTGGGGAAATCTAATCCTCCCAAAACCTCAGAAAGAAAGAAGAAGTAGAAATATTGATGAGCTGCAGTGATGTCTGTCTCACCAAGAAACCAAAATTACCATGTGTACTTGAGATAAATTCTATTCAGGAGCCTCTAATATATACTAACGTACTATAATTCATTTTAATGGCAGTGTGCCTGGGGAATATTATAGGATATATGAGGTATTGTGGAGTGTATACACACACACACATGCACATACACCCTACACATCCCAACACACTAACACAGTTTTACTGCAAAAAGTTCTAAGACCTAGCTTAGAATCCTAGCTCTCACCTGCTGAGTGTCCTAGGAGGAATAATTTAACCTCTTAAAATCTTAGTCCTCTCTAGAAATTGAGCAGTATTAGGGATAACTTAGGGATAGCTAAGAAGAAGCAATGTATCTCTAGGATGTGGAATCTGTGTCTGAATTCTGACTTTGATACTTAAATCCCAAATGGCTGTCAGCGACTTACACAAACATTTTGAGCCTCGGTTTCCTTACCTGTAAAATGCAGACACAGTATACACTTGAACGGTTGTTGAAAGTATCAGATAAGATGCTATGTGTGTTTCACAAGGTGTTCTGAATTTATAAGTTATTACCAAATATTAGAGATTATGTTTTCAAGTTCTTCGAATAAATACCCAGCAGTGGATAGCTGGATCATATGGTAGATCTATCCGTAATTTTCTGAGGAAACTCCATACTGCTTTCCATAGTGGCTGCACCAGTCTGCACTGCCACCAGCAGTGAACAAGTGTTCCCTTCTCTCCACATCCTCTCCAACATTTGTTGTTTCCTGTCTTGTTAATTATAGCCATTCTGACCAGAGTGAGGTGATACATCGTTGTAGTTTTGATGTGCATTTCCCTGATAGCTAATGATGTTGAGCATCTTTTCATATGCCTGTTGGCCATCCATATATCTTCTTTGGAGAAATCTCTGTTCAGATCTTTTGCCCATTTTCTAATTAGATTGTTGGGTTTTTTTTGTTGTTGAGCTGTATTAGTTCTTTGCATATTTTGGATATTGACCCCTTATCTGACATATGGTTTGCAAATATCTTCTCCCAATTGTTAGGTTGTCTTTTCATTTTGTTGATGGTTTCCTTTGCTGTGCAGAAGCTTTTTAGTTTGATGCAGTCCCATTTGTTCATTTTTTCTTTTGTTTCCCTTGCCTGGTCAGATATGGGACTTCAAAATATGCTGCTCAGACCGATGTCAAAGAGTGTACTGCCTATGTTTTCTTCTAGAAGTTTCATGGTTTCGGGTCACAAAGGCTTAAAGATACTTGCACCTCTATGTTCATTGCAGCATTATACACAATAGCCAAGACTTGGAAGCAACCCAGGTGCCCATCAAGGGACGAATGGACAAAGAAGATGTGGTATTTATACATGATAGACTACTACTCAGCCATAAGAAATGATGAAATCCGGCCATTTGTGACAACGTGGATTGACCTTGAGGGTATTATGCTGAGTGAAATAAGTCAGAAGGAGAAAGTCAAACACCATACGATCTCACTCATAAGTAGAAGATAAAAACAATGACAAACAAACACATAGCAACGGAGATTGTATTGGTGGTTACTATACGGGGAACAGGGGGAAGGCAAAAGGATGATTAAGCTCACATGTGAGGGGATGGACTATAATTAGTTTTCAGGTGGTGAACATGATGTAATCTACACAGAATTCGAAATATATTATGAAATAAAATAACAGATACTACAGTTTAATACCAACTGATATCTCCAAGATAAAATCAAATGTAAATTCCTAATTCTTAGAAAAATTTGATCTCAGAGGCATACTATATAAACAAGCCAAATGGCATTGGTATAATGACCAAGAAAGAACTAGATATATACATTAAAAAGATATGCTAAAATAAGTCACTTTCTAAGTTACTGACAAATTATTCAGAAAGTATGGACTTACAAACCTAATTTACCTACCTGTGGGATATTTCCAGAGGCTGCAACAGATCAGATTAGTAGAAGTGGAAAGCTAAGGAATCCACAGAGGGGAAACTTGGAAGAAAGAATTTGGGGTTTTGCATAAATGTGTGATTCTGAGCATACCTGCTTGAAATCTGGCCTCCTGCAAATTTCTTAATTGTCTACCTGTTACTGGTACAATGATTGTAGATCAACATTTTCTTCTGTCTTTATTGATAAATACATTAGTGGAGGAAACCACAGAATGGCAAAAGACAAAGACTCATTCTCCAAGAGGCTTGTGGGCCTGTGATTACTTGTACAAGGTGGCCAGCCCTCAGCATTGCCACCGGCTTGTCCAGAGAGATAAATAGAAGCTGGAATCAAGAAGCATCTTCTTTAACTTTCTGTGAGGTCCAAGATTATAACTGAAAGATACATAACAAATAAGAAAGAAGGCTGGCATCTCAGAAATCTCAATAAGAGAAAGAAATATCAGGTGAGATAGAGGAATGTAAAGTAAAACAGAATCATAAAGGGGTAAAGGAGAGAAGTAGGAAACCTGGGATTTGGGTCCACAATATCCCCCTTGATCGTGCTACTGAAAAGAAAGTAATAGTTTTGCATTCTGAAAGCAAGATTAAGTGAAATGAAATTAAAATGATAAATGATTACTGGGGGAAGACTCCTTACATGCATAAGTGGGATCCGAATGCCTCAATCCTCCCCACATTCTTCTGAATTGCTGAGAGGAATCCTGAGACTGATGTAATTCACTGCAATGAATGAAAAAAGTTTTGATTATCAGAGTAGAGAATGTAAGGGAATATGTTTTAGAAACATCCCCAGTTAGTTGTGATCATAAGAGGTAGCTGGAGACAATCACAGAGACATGTTGACGATCTTCTCAGGAAAGATGCCTCGTAAGACGCTTCATAACAGATGTCTCCAGTTAGGCTTAGAGAGGAGATGCAAAGGTAACAGTCACCTCCTGCCAGCTGCAGAAGTGTACTGAAAGTGTGCATGGTAAATATGAATGATAACAGTAAATAGGGAACAACAATACAGGGAGAAAAAAGCTTTGAGGTATAGGAATCAGGCCAACTTTCAGGAAATGAATCCTTCTTTTTCTTTGAACCTTCTGGACATCTCTCACTCCTGCTTTCTTCTCAATATGTCTGCACACTTGTTGATACTCAGCAAATCTAAGAGAATACCTATGGATGTGTAAAGTTCAGCCTCAGTAACCTATTATTACACTATCACTGAAATACAGCCCTGACGGAAGGGGCACCTGAGGATTTCTCTCAGCCCTCAGTTACCTCTGGGTCTCACGTGGACTGGCATTTTTGCCATTTCTTGGAAGTATGCTAACTCCTCTTAAGAATGAGGGAAAAACACCTGTTGAAAGAAACTCTTCACCCGCCACGGGTGCAACATGACTGAGAGTACAAGTCTGAGTAACGAATCACGGCCTCCTCGGCACAACTGAAAGACCCGGCAGGCGTGTAACTCAGGATTTCTTTGGGCATATGAAGTGGGTGAATCACTATTGATCTGTTAAGAATACCAAGAAGGACCTGACCCCAGGAGGACTTCAGAATTGTAGTCGGTGACAAATTTGAGGGAAACTCCATTTGTAGAAACCATGGTTCTCTATAGGTCAGTTTCTGTGTGTAAAACAAGACAGAACATTAGGACAAGCTACTCCGAACATGTTTATGCATGCATGTGAGCATCTGCATGCTCAATAAGAACAACAGAGGGAAATATGTCAAGAGATAATTGTGCTTTTTTGAACAAAATATCTAAAGGCTATTAAGTATTTATAAAACTTCACTATGAAAGTTAAACTTTTGACTGGTAGATTGGACAGTATAAAAAGATATTTTACAAAAAAGTACAAAACAAACACTGTAAATAACTTTAGAAAATAAAAAGAAAAGAATGCACCACTTGTCAGAATAATGTTGTTGGAATTCAATTTTTAATGATGAAAGAGGAATATGATAAAGTTATTTAAGTTATAAAAGGAAATCATTTCTCAAGCACGTGAAACTATTCCTCAAAGATAATATTGTCCTCATGAATGTTAGTCAGAAGATTAGTAACAACTAATGGTCAGTTTTATTCTCATTGTTCATTCAAAGTTGGTACAGATAATTGAAAATCAAATGCAGCAGCTTTGTGCTGTTGTGTTTAGGTAGGTAGAAACGGCAATTGTCCTCAATGGACACATCCTAATCACAAACTGGAGTTTACTTAGGTCTTCTGGACTTACACGACTCAGCTTTATAAATCTTTCCTCCATTTAACAATAAAATGCTGTGTGCACATCCAATTTTGTGGTTTGATGGATCATATAACACCAGCTCATAGTGGACAGTTAAGTTTCATAGTCATTTGGTTATATGTGCTATGGGGTCAGATGCTTAGCCTTAGGAACTACTTTTGAAATGGAGAATAGTTATCCACAGAAGAGGGCCAGTACAGTGATTCTCCTTCGGGGACTTTTCAGAGGCTCTAGAGAGCTTCCCTATCTGCCATTGACGCTTCTGGGTCATAAGACCCAAGAGGCAGGGCACTTTGTACCACATCCTGAAACTGCTGGAATGTTTTACTTGGTCCAGGCCCTCATATGCCAGCCAAACAGGTTTTGGTCAATGGGTCAGATCAGCATACCAAACATGCGTCTTTCTTTATAGTAGGAAATTCAAGGTACAGAAAATTCTCTCTCACAATTTTCTTAAATTTCCCGGATCATTGGACTTGTGGGAACCTCTCCAATTGGTCATGACTCTAGACTTACGTGGGATTTACATCTTCTGTCATACATTCTTGCTAAGCTTTGCTGCTTCCTACTCACCAGATCCAATTAGCACAGTATCATCAGTGTATGGAGAGTATGATGTTCTATGTGCTATTAAGATGATTGCTGTACTCAAAATCTACATTATTACAGAAAGTGACATTATCCTCATGTAAGAAAGGGTATTTAGATTGCTGTCAATGGCTCATGAGGCAAAATGATATGACTGCTTTTGCTGAAAGGACTTTAAAAGAAAGCATGGTGCTAGGTGAAAAGTTTCATGCCAGATGCCAGAGGCTGTCTTTATTTGATTCATAGAGATAACACACCTGCAATCAGAGCTGGAATTGGTATCACCACCCAATTAAATTTTTAATTATCCCTAGTCATTCTACAAGGCCCACAGGCACATCATGTTAGGAAATCCTCTGCACCCCTCACAGCTTTGATGACAGCACTAAGATTTTTTTGTGGTCTCAGTGGTGCAGTAATGCTTTCCATTTGCTATCCTGGGGGATGAGATATGAAATGAGACAGGTTCAGGGCTTCCGCCTGACCCTTCCTAACATAGCAACTCTACACAGATGTGGTAACCAATGGGGAGGTTATACATGTTACTAAGTATATCTGCCCTCACTATCCATTCTAAAATTGGGGCAATAACCACAGGATGGGTGTGTAGTTCAATTGGACCCCTATGAGACAGACTTGGACTAAGACACCATTTGCCACTTGACTTCCATAGGTTTCTACTCTGAGCAGTGCATCCTGGTGGAATCTCAGCAGATTAGTGTAAGAACAGAGACCGTATAAACTTGTAGACTCTGGATACTGACCTTTACTATTACAATCATTCAGGTAAATGGCTATGAGTATCTTTAGGGAAAGACTTGGAGGAAGATTCTCAGATACAGAAGTGGGCTGTGATGTGGATTTTCCTTCAAGTAACATTTCTTCCTATCAATCAACGGGCACCAGGTTTGTGCACTGACTTAGATTGGGAACTAAGCAAGACACCATCAATCTCCACTAATACAACTCAAGTTAATTTCAACCCAACACACTTTGAATTATCCAATTATCTATGTCAAACAAGACCTAAAGGGGCTACCTCTCCATGTCACTCCTAGGGATTTGTGATGAGTCAGTCACAACCACAGACACCTGAAGCTGAGGATGGTAACCAGGCATACCTTATCTGGTAGTGAACTGTTGCCATCTGGCCTCTACCACTGTGGAATCACTGCTATAAGAAGAAGTCTTATGCAGCCAAACAAAACTAACCTGAACTATAGGCAAACTAAACTAAAAACAACCTAGCCTCTCCCAACAAGAAAAAAAATGTATTAAAGAATTGATCACGAAGTTAATTAATTTTTTTAAAGTTATTTTCTTAGATTTTGTGATGTTAGTTTTATTTGACAACTTTTAAAGCATTCTATTTGCTGTGGTTGTTTTTATCATCCTAAATAAATATCACTTTTGCACTTTTTTGCATTCATAATATTGCACTTTTTACTTAAAGAAGGAATTCAAAATTATGTAAGCCACAAAATCCACAAAGCTTTGTTCAATCTCTGAGTCTAGTTTAACTGCAGCATCACAGAATGCCACTTATGTTCCTTAGAGGAGAGGCATTATTTCATTTGTTCAGGTCCTAGTGAAGGAAGCGTTGTCCAGTCTTGCCAGGGATGTGGCGGGGGAACGGGAAGGGTGGCTGAGCAGGTTATACTGTAATGCACCAGATAGCAAATGTTGTGGGTTTTTTGGACCATATGGTCTCTGATTCAACTATATAACTTTGTCATTTTTGTGCAAAAGCATCCACAGACCATGCATAATGTGGGCGTGGCTGTGTTCAAATAAAACTTGATTTATAGAAACAAGCTGTCTGGTCCAACCTGGCCCATGGGCTGACCTGAGATACAGAGAGGGCCCAGAAGCTCCAGCAATTAAACTCCTTTGATTGAGATGACTCAGACTTAATTAACTAACCTAGTAATCCATCAATGCCACTCCTAGCTGCTTAAGCTAATATATTAAATCCTTGCTTCCAGATGAGTGCATCTACATATCTTTTATCCTTCTTAGTCTATTGCCCTCAGAATCCATTCCAACGCATTCCCCAGTTTCCTGTTAATTCAGATTGAAGATCTTCTGCAAGCCTTCTGGTGTACAGAGTCTTTCTTCTAGAGGAGCCCCTCTCTGGTGCTTCTCTCTCTGGGCTTTGTTGGGATGTGACTTTCATTGTGGGCCTGGGAACCACGAGTGTGGTAGGAAGAGACACTCTGGTTGGACAGCTGCTCCAGGTGTGATCATTGTAAGAATTTCAGGATGTGGAAGGCTGGCCAGTCCCTTCATTCAATGGGGAGTAGTTGCTTTAGCAGAAAAGGTCCTTTTGGAGAGATTTAGCAGTGCAAAGCTCTTAGCTTTGATTCTGTCTGCTTGCATGTCCCATCCCACGTCCAGCAGTATGCCTCCTCCTCTAAGTTCTCCTGCTTTAGTAGAAGAATCCTGGAGGGTCACATCCATCAATGCTGCAGCTCTGTGACAATTGCACTTGGGGCCTGGGCTTAATTTTCAGCTTTATTTTCCATGTAGCTACAGAAGATGAAGGTCATCTTTATAGTTGTCTTGGTGAGCCTCTGAGCTTCCACATGTGCCCTGGGTTGGGCATACATTCGAGACGTTCAGTTGGTCCATTTCTCTGTGTATACTCTCTAAGGCTGTTAGAAACAGCCAGCCTATGCCTTGATGCCTTGTGTATAACACTTGTCACTATAGCTATAGTGACTCAGTCATAGCCGTTTGCTCTCAGAACAGCTTGCCCTCTACCTGCCCTCATGATGCCACCATATGCCATAGATCATCATGCCTCATTTCCCCGGCAGAGAAATGATCAGTGCACTCATCAAGTATGTGAGTAATCCAACACCAGAATTCCACTCTCATGTTCTGTTTCTTAAG